AGAACAATGTTAAATTAGTGCACTAAAAAATATGTAAGATACTTGCATTGGGTTCTGTTGATTTTATCTAAATCGATAAATTATTTAGTAATCTTTTATTATTAAATAATTGAATCACGTAATAAACAAGTACTATATGTTATTCTATGTTATTATACGTTACCGGGTTTTCTCCGTACCGAATCTTATCAAAAATATTATTGATAGTAGGTAAAGAATGGCAGATAAAGTAAGAATTTTCTGTTACAAAATATCCATACCTATTACAAAAACATAAATATCATATTAATTATAATACAAAACTGATAAATAAAATATAACTCTTTATGAGAAGTGTAAACATACTTTTTATATAATTCATCTAAATATTCTGAAATACTCATTCCTCGTTTATCTAATTGTACAACTAATTCTGCAAAAGTTCCTAAAGCACTTATACCATCTTTATCTCTAACAGCATCTCCAATCATGAATCCAATTGCTTCTTCATAAGCAAATAATACTTCATATCCTTTTTTTACCAGATCAATCGTTACATTGCCCAACCATTTAAATCCTGTCAAAGTTTCTTCAAAATAAAATCCTTCAATCTTTGCAATTATGGCCAACATTTTTGATGATACAGCAGATGATAACATTGCTAATTTTTCTGAATGTTTTTAAACATATTAATAAAAATTTAATTTTGTAGGATTATTAATATAATTTAATGCTCACCGAGTGGTTTACCACTGGCTTTATAATTATTTAGTACAACGGATGCAAGCATTACACCTATTTGATTACCCGAAAAGATTGTCCAGTTACCACTATAGTCATAATGTAAAATTTAGTTATTATTTTACTATACTGTTGGTTATTAATCAAGATAATGAATTTATGTGATTAACTTTTTTTGTTTTTCCGAAACTGAAAATCTATCAGCGTCAGGATCGTTTGCCAATACAATACGTGCACCAACTTCATTGGCAGTTTTCATGGCAAGTTCCTAAACCAAACAAATAATATCGAATATATAAAAATGTTAATTTCTATTTATAAGCCAATAGAAATTAACAACATACCAATGTTCCTGTAATTTGATTGAATTAGTACAAAATATTGAGATTAAAGTGATTTGCATAAGATCAAATAATATGTGACTCCATCTCACTACCTTTTCCCTCTTCAGGATTAGGAAATGTTACTGTCGGAAAATCTGGATCTGGATCGGCTTGTTCCTTGGTAAGGATAAGTGATTTTAAAGAAAACGTTTCAAATATTCTCTTTGCTGCTGGGGTTCCAACCCCATGCAAGGCTGTGTAAATAAATTTGAGATTTGATGCCGCATTATCTTCTCTAAGGTAGATAACATTTAAAAATTAATGTGCGATATGAAATATAAAACAATTACATAGATAAAATTATATTATTACCGATGACGCGATAATACCTTCAACTCTCCAAAATAAGCATCAGAAATTTCATTTATATTGTCGACACATAATTCATTATTATCGACAAGTTTAGGGTCCCATATCCAGGGTTCAAGATTATTGCTAATCGCATTACTAATGCCTTTGTCGTGTGGTGGAATGATCTAAATGTTGTAGTAAAATGTAAATATAATAAAAATCAAGACATATATAAATTAAATAAAAATGATCATTACATACCTGGCATGCATTTTCCCAATATCTTGTGTTAAATAAATTGTATTTAAATAAATAAAAACCTTTTTTAATATAAAGTTCTTTACATAACTTAATAAATACCTACACTTTATAACCATTATCTTGCTTGGGATTCTAATAAATTTAAAGTATATTTCATTAGGAATAACATATACGTATTTAAAAGAATGAATTGGTAGATGCTAACGTGTGAAGCAGTAATCATGATCCCACAGGCGGCTTTCAATTTTTTGACACC